ATGGATGAATGGATGGATGGATTGGAAGAAATTATTACCATCTCCCATTACATGAAAATTACAAATAGAATCTCAAAACAATGCAACAAATAATCCACTCACCCAAGAAAATCATCAATATCCATTGTTCTTGCTCTCATTTTATCGTATCCTCCATCTACTAATATCTGGTTTATTTTTTCTTTGATGTTAAAATCAGCATCCAACATCTGGAAATAATAATGAAAAGAATCAGGACAGATACTGAGAGCTATATAAACCTTTTGATATTGTATCAATATCCTGAAACAACCTCTGGAATGATCAAAGACAGGGCTATGGACATTACATGTACAGTGCATTTTTCAGGGTGAAGTGTGTGTCTCTTATGGCCCTGGATCTTCCACATCGCAGGCATGTATCATGTCCGCATGAGTGGAAAACGTTACACCAGCATTGATCCACCTGAGTATACATACATTTATCTACATAAAGTAGAAATAGTAATGATAAAAGGGTAATTTATACACCGTGAAAAGGTGAAAAAACTTACTGGCATTTCGGACATTAGTCCTTCATCGGAGTAAAAGAGTAAAATACAACCTAGATCATTGGAATTTGATGATTATACCAAGTACTTACAACATGATTTAATGAGCAGTGAATTTTGTAGTTCTTTTCTAACATCTCTGTAACTGGCTTAGAGCTGAAAACCAAAGCTATTACATTAATATTTTACTCTCAAAAAGCATTGAAAAGGCAGAATAATGAATAATTAGGGTTGACGTATGGTCAAGTGGAGAAATGGTGTGGGGGAGGGGGAGGGGGATGGTTGGTCAGGATCTATAACAGGCTCATGTTTCTCTTACCTAAAACAGGCACCTAGGGTCTTGTTCTTTCGTACAAAAGCAATTCGCACAAGTCCATCCCATTCCTTAAAAACAATTCAAGATTCATATTGAACATCATTTGACTACAATAACTGGGAAAAGTTGAATGCATAAATATTCAAACTAGATAAAGACTCTCGTAATAAAAATATTGAAGAAATAGAAAACTCGTGCACATACTGTGTGCAGTTATGAAGCACGTCGGGGTTGGCAGAACATGAGAGCAGTGTTAGGAGAAGCATGACGTGTAGCAGAGTGCTTCTCGACACTCCTTGAGTTGTTCTGCCAATCACCAAGTGCTTTTATTTCTTTTATAAAATACAAATTTCAATGACCTTTATTTTGGATAGGAGTTATGCAATTGCTGAAGTGTGTGTGTGCTGTGTGCTCTCATAAAGCATGCACTCCCAACCAATCAAAACGTGAGGTTTATAACAGTTATTTTATAATTCAATATACACTAGTTATCATCATTATTCTGAATAAAGCTTATCGTTAATAGCTACACCTTTACTTTATGTTACAAGTAAATACRACAGGAATCAATGGCTGTTACCTTGAAATTGATGGGGGGTGGGGGATTCTTGGGTTCTATTCTGACGACGCTTGATTCAACTTTTGGAGGAGGACGAAAATTATTTTTACCAACCTGAAAAGAAGTAAACCAGTCACTATTAACCTGTGTTTCCAAGTTGGCACACTAAATTGATACATATTATCTCTAACCTTCATTAAATGGTCAACCCTTGCTAGTAACTGTGTATTGATTGACAGTCGGCAGTATAACTTATCGCCAGGTTTTGCAATAAGTCTTTGTGCAAATTCTCTTTGGAACATCAAAACAGCACATCTGTAATGTAAACAGTACATGTATGTTTGACAATTATTCGCCGAAGGTGAAGTGATTATCGGTGGAATATTCGTACCAAGCCGCAGGTCCTAGAGCGGCGAGGTAAATATTCACCATAATCACTGAGTCTGAGGGGAATAATTGCTCTAGTATAATTTTAGACTTTCAAGAATATTAGAGAAAAGTCGAAATTTAAGATTAAAAAAATGTTTTAGCATTAATCAGGAAAACTTTGGAAAACCTCATAATCACCGTTCCAGCGGTGATTATCGTCTCAGAATCACAGGTTGCTCGACCAATCACAGMTCAAGAAACTCTATATTCAAGTCTAAAATTATACTAATTTTAAAAAAATGCATTAATAATTCATGAAGGAAACACAATAGAAATCATGACCATGAAGGAGGTTTTATATCTGATATAGATTCGTCTTCATTTGCATAAACTTTAACTTGGATTTTCTCTATCAAACTTGGTTCATTTCGTAAAGAATTCGGTACAGTATGAGAACATATGGCTACGCCTCGTGTTTTAGACCCGATAAAACACTCCTGCTCGTTTATTAAACAGTACATGTATATATATTTATCAAACTCATGAATAATTCATGAGAAAAACACATCAGAAATCACGACCATGAAGAGTGTTGTAAATCTGATACAAAACTGTGTTCATTTGCATAAACTTTAAGTTGGATTTTCTTGGCCAAATTCACTTTAATTTTGAAAATTTTAGTGAAACACAAACGAACTAACCTAGACGTTTGATAAGTCATATACAGTATTCGTGTCCGTGTTGTATCAGATATACTATCACTCGGCTATGCCTCGTGGTTGTATATCTGATACAACACAGCCACTCATACTGTATATATTACATAATGTATTATACAATCAAAGTTCTTTTTTTTCCTGGAATACCTGAAGAATGGTCTGTGTAATAGGAGTTTGAATACAAAAGGAGAAGAAATCTGCAATGATCAAAAAAAGAGATATTAGAAAAGCCTTGTGAATTTGATTAACTAGTGTTACTGAAGATTATCAACTTTGGTCCAAAGATCAAACAATCAACCATTTATATGGGCTACTGATCAACACTCAGCTACTAGAATGGCCAACTTTGGAATAGCAATCATAGCTACTATATACTAGACACTACACATAATCATGGAGAAACTACATGTATAGTTAAATTGAATCACCATAATTCAACCACATTTTTTCAAAAAGTATATGTACATATTATTACTTTGGTATGTGTTTTTCCCTGTCTCCAAACTCACCTGGTATGGCAGATTTGCTACACAGACATCAAAGAATGGAAGATCTGTTTTCAGGACATCACCCACCATCACACTAAGCTTACTTGCTTGTGGTCTGAAAACAGATGACAAAAACTAAGGTCAGTGAGAAAAAGACGTAATTGAGGAAGTAGCAGAATTATTTCATATTGCGCACAGCAGTTCCAGAAATTATCCATACCTCCCCCACGGAGGAATTTCATTTTCTAAGACCCTACCTACCAATTTTCTTCCATACAAACTCTGTAATTTTGCTCTTTTCTGACCCCCCCTCCTCCCTACCCCTTGGAAATTCCAAATTCCTCTGTGGGGAGGGCATAGATAATCTCTGGAACCACACATACATTGTTTATATCAACTTACGTTCCTTGTACTCTTTTCTGTAATTCAGCAACCATACGAGGATCCAATTCACAAGCTATAACCTTTGAGCAAAGAATCAATTAAAGTATTGTTAAAGGAGCAATAATTGTTAACCAACAGATATAGTTTATCCATGTTGTACCTTTTTTGTTGCCTCTAATAATTTGACAGTCAAGTTACCGGTGCCTGGACCAATCTCAAGTACTGTGTCAGTAGATCTCAAACCAGTCTGAAATAACACAAACCCGAAATGCTTTTTTAGTAACTACTATGTAATTATTTACCAAACATACAACTCTGAATTAATGATAAATCGTAAATTGTCTTTCACTACATGATAAATTCTTACGTTTTTTACATGCTCACCTTTTCTACAAGACTTGTTATGATCAAAGGATTTTTTAGTATATGCTGTCCATGTTCAGTTTGAAATCGTAGACCTATAATTGAACACTGAAATCTCAAAAAGAGAGCCACAAAATCTACACTTTTTCACAAAGAAAAGCTTTAAAAATTAACCTCATCCTACCTTGTTGATATGGCTGGCTTTCTGTATGCTTTCTAGACTTCTTCTCTGCCTTTAATTTGGGCATTTTGAGTTAAAATAAGATCGATAAACACGAAAAATCCTTCGAGTTTGAGTTTCGTCGCAATGTTTACCACGTGTACCAGGCGTTCCTCGTACGACCGTGAGAGACTAGTACTCCTAGAATCACCGCTGACCTCATAAATAATATATCGCAGGCTCTTTCTTCCATTCAACTTCACAGATTGTTCCAAAATGTCTTTAAAAGATGTACTAAATTAGTAGATAATGAAAAGATGGTTGGATAAGTGGAATAGCTACAAGTACAGATTTGTTCCATGGATTACATTTAACCTGAAAAACAGGTGTGCACTTTTACTTGGTTTGATTTCTATAATTTCAAAGTGTTTGTTAAGTTTTTTATATATTTTTTATTTTATGTACTGTAGGACAGTAAGAGAGGTACCGAATGCATCAGAAGACAATATCATACCAGAAAACACATTACAACAGCTGTTATTAGGTGTGATAACTGCACTAAACGAGAACGAGGCTAAACATGACACTAATAAACATAACACACAGGATACAGCTTTGGAAGTAATGAATAAAGTACTTGGATACAAGACACAGAGGAAGCCAAGTCTACTGTCAGGAGGGGGAGAAGGGTTATTTGTCACCCAAGGGGTAGTCCCCAGGGGAAGTCTTGTTGCTCTTTACCCTGGCACAGTCTACTGGCCTTATGAACCAATCTTCTTTCAGTCCATTGCTAATCACTTTGTGTTCCGATGTATTGATGGCCTTCTTATCGATGGAAATGATCGTGGAATATCGAAATCTATTTTCAGGTAACTTATGAGAGATTCTTATGTCGCTTGGGCTACCCATAGTGCCAATGCCAGACTAATATGCATTGCATACAATATGAGAGATTCTTAATGTGGCTTGGGCTACCCATAGTGCCAATGCCAGACTAGTATGCAATTAGCCTGCATGCTTAGTTAGTTCAGCTGCACGCAGGCTAGTATGCAGTGCATACAATATAATTTTTTATCCAAACCTWGGGCTTTCTTGAGGGAGCTTTTCTCATTACTTTTCACTACTTTACACGATAGTGAGAGGGAAAAAATGAGAGTTTCTCTCTTTCCATTGAAATTCTTCCCATTCCATCTTCATTGCCACAGGTAACCCACCCTTAGTTTTCTCTTGCCTCCAAGTGCAGGTTTGCAGGGATTTAGATCATATGAAAGTAGCAGAGCTCATATAGATTCCTTTTTTGCTTTGGTGAAGGAAGTGGGAAGAGATGCCCAAAGTGTGGGGGGAGGGGGGGGGGAATGTCATAGGTACCCATGATTTCCAGGGATGATCTTTTTATCTTGTTGTATATCCATAGGTCCAGTGGATTACGTGACCAATTAGGGCCATATGTGCCCTGCGATCTCTCCTGGTTGGATGGTACATTTCATAATCCATTAGCTGTTGGACAGTATGCTAACAATGCCTCCAAGAGGCACCCTGCTAATGTTGCGTATCAAGAACTCGATATAGTCATTAAGACTGTGCCTATCAACTTACTGAAGTATATACCTAATGTGTGGTATGGTGCAGATAACATTGGGAGAGACAATGCATTTATAAGAACTGTTGCACTTGTTTCAACCAGAGAGATAAACGAAGGAGAAGAAGTATTGTCTTCATACTTTACAGTAATACACTAATATTGCTACTGTATTTAGATACTGTATTTGTTCTTAGAAGGGATAGGGATTGTTCTCTTTGAACCAGGCTTAGCACAAAGGCAACTGCCCACAATTTTCACTTCATTGAAGGAAAAGATAAATATAGAGACAAGTCACAATGAGCAGATAAACTGCTACTACAAGTTATATAAATACCAATATAAAAGTCTTATTTTTATAGGATGGTAAAATAGTAATTTTGTAAATAGTATGAGGTGCAGTTGCATCAGCACATTAAACCACTAAGGCACTAAATGCATAACGGTTGGTTCTAAATGCTTATTTTATGATATAATACTAAGCTAGAGTAACATTATTTTGTGCATGTTCATGATGAGTCAGAGCTAGGTGTTATGGAAGAGATTCCTTCAAAATAATCTTTATGTTGAAACTTGAGTACCTGAAAAAAAAAAAAATAAAAAATAAAAAATAAAAAAAAACTGTAAATCTAAGAAAATTTTTTAAATTTGCATGGAATTTTCTTCAAATGTCTAGGGGCAGATCCAGGATTTTTCCTAGGGAGGGGTGGGGGGTGTACCATAGAGGATTTTTGTTGAAGGAGGGTGTGCTCCCTTTGCTTACAAACTCAAACATCAATAAAGCAGTAGATATCAGCTAGCTCATCTGGGGGGTGGGGGGGGGGGGCGCACTCCTCCTGTACCCCTCTTCTAGATCTACCCCTGTCTTTTTACCTCATTTCCCCAACTTGTCCATCTTGGTGTTAGATTTCTTGCAAACATTTCTAAAAATCTTCCTTCCTTATCGATGTAGTCTCCTAGAACATCTTGAAAGACATTGAACATGAAAAAAAAATTGTCATATAAATTGATCTTAAAAAATCTGAGTTTAATTTATTTTGGCATTAGAATCAATTCGCCATARCCCACCCCTATCAATGCCCCCATATAATTTTCTATTTGTCACGTCAAGATATGCTTACCAGAAAGGGGTGGTTTTCTTGAATGAATTTGACAGGGAACACTACAGATAACCATGTGGTTAGGAATTGATTTTAAGCCATTTTGTTCTTTGCAATTCACCATTTCTCTGCATTCCTTTTCATCTGTAAAAACCAAAGCGTCTGTCGTATCTGTGGTTTTGGGATCCGATAAGCATGATACAGCCAGATTGGCATCAGAACTTTTAGTTGATTTGAATCTTCCTATTATTAAAGTTTCATAAGGCTTTTTGTGTGGAGAGTCAAGATCAATAACAAATTCTCCTGTTTTTGTCACCTTAGAAATAAAAAAATATATACATCCGTTAATATTGGGTAGCTTGTGGTATGATAAAGCACAGGAAACCCATGCTGAATGACTATGGACATGTTTTTACTGTACCTTGACCCAGTACCACTCAGCCAGTAGCTCAACACCCCAGTGTGGTAGAAGCTCTTCTCGAGTGAATCTGATATATTTTGGTTTATTGGTGACCCATACTACCACAAGTGCATTATGGGAAAGTACCAGGGGTACTGGAAGGGACTTGATCTGCCATAATGACATGAATGAGTACCTGAAGATAGAATGAAATGAGAAAAGATTACACAGTTGCATTTAACATGCAAAATGAATAAATTTCCAATAAATAAATGAATGAGTGGGAGAGAGGGAGGGCAGGGCTTAAAATAATGGCTTGTCATTTGAAAAGTCCAGTCAGAAATGGAACTTGTACCATTATATATTTGCCTTGCTGGTCATTTTGACCATAGAATTCAGCCAGAAAGGAGGTATATTGATCATTAACCAGTAACTGACCAGCCATTACTGTATTTTAAGCCCTGGAAGGAGAAAGAAAGAATGTACATCTTACTTGCTCGTTCTCTTGGCAGACTTGTTGTACCAAGGTGGATCAATAACTAACACATCAAATGAACCTTTGGATTTGGCTAAAAACATATATAAAACAAATATCTTAATACAAGACATACAGCCTGTAATACTTTGTCTAACCAATTGATTACTAATATATTGTGTCTTGTATGCAAGGGCTTTGAAAAATGCATGTCTTACATTAATACATCAATTATGTACCATTATCCACCAGTGGCTGTAGACTAGAGGCATCTGATATCAAATAGGTAGTTTCTGGGGGTAAAATGTGCCATCCATCTTGCAGGAAGACTAGGGAAGGAGAAGTACTTGAATGCTGAATAATTTCACCATCTATATATCTGCTTTCTTTCCCTAAGAGAGAAAAAAATTTGTTTTTGCCCATTCTTAAAAGGTAAAAAGTTTAAAGACTCATGAATAGCCCACTTCCGAGATATGCTTTGCTTGTCACGCACAAAGGTTTGACTGAGCGTTTAGCACATAGCCTTACTGAAATCTTTGTGCGTGACAAGCAAAACATATCTTGGAAGTGGGCTATTGCATTAACAAATTCATACCTTTGCATGTTGCTTTATTAACAGCAATGTTTTCATTTTTAGCATTTGTAGCTACAGAGGTTTCTTGAAAAAGGATGGAGTTTTTCTTTCTTACGAAGTATCCAGCCTTTCTTCCAAGACATGTAAGGGTTCTAGTTGCTGTTGCTATGATGTCTCTTATCTGTGAGTATGATCAAGTACATGTAGTTAAATTATATAGTTGAATCCCCTCAAACTGTCAAGGAATCTTCTGAACATTCATCATTTGAATAAAAGATGCAAGTACAGGTAACTCAATTACTTGTACTTATTCATATCTCAAAAATGAAGCCTTATTTTTTTATGAATGAAACAAAAAGTCTTTTATTTTATTTAGGTTACCTTCTGATGATGCTCAAAGCCTTCAATTTCACCTTCATTTAGTTCCGAAGTTCGTGTCCTCTTACGCTGTAACGAAGAAAACAGCTATAGGTCATGTAATTCAAATCCTTCTCTTACCTTCAGACTAACCTTTCGTTTACTGCAAGTGTCTTCTTCATCGTCTTCATGTTTTGTAGTGATGTATGGCGTCCATAGCTCAAATATATCTCTTCTGCATTGATAGTTTAAAGGTTTGACGTCTCGTGTAATGGCCACTGCATGATCGACTAAGAAACCATACTCATTGCTTTCTATAACCGCCACTTTGAATTAAAATTTTGAAGAAATTATGAGAAAAAACTACAAGAAGCAAACTGCACAAGTAAATGTTGATATCAACCAGGCGTTCCTTACTTGAGGTTTGCAATGCAATATGGGATTTTTGGTTCGCGCGCTGGCGGGCATGCAAAACTCATTAGGCAGATTAAGATTCCCGTTTTTCCTTCCCGCAAACGGCAAACGTGACCACGTTTTCATCGTTTCCCTACATTTCACTTTACCTTTTGCAAACCTTCTCACCAAAGACAAGTATTCTTTTGTTTATCTACTACTTGGAGATGTTTGCGATTCCTATTCAATATTGTAAAGAACTTTTTACTGGTCAACTGACGTTTCACGTTTGCCGTAAACGAGAATTTTAAACTCTTTATTGACAAAAATCTTTCTCATTTTGAAAATTTTAGATTTCTGATCGTTATATTTTTCTCATAAACGCAAACAGGACGATATCTTCATTATCAATAAGCCTTATGATTATGATTATTTATCAAGTTTTGCTGGTACGAATTTTGAAAATGTTTTTTCATTTTTTGTTCAATTTTTGCGCATTTCTCACCGCCAACCTTGAATAGTCGTATTGGTTTCGCAATCGAAAAGGAGTCATACACAAAATGTTCTTCAATAAGAATTTTTAATTTATTTTTATTGATATTCTTAATAACAGATCCTAGTAGATTGTTTCTAGCTTCCCTCAACAGTTTTATTCTTCAAAAGAGCAGTGTCATTAATTGGTGGGTTGCAAGCATTCCCAAGAGAGTTAAAAGACAAAAACATGGCGGCCATTGTGGTACCGTTAACAATGGATGCTAATGAGAAATCGTTTGTTAAATGGTACCAACATGGCCGCGATGAAGTAACGTGCAATCGAAGACTTGACTATCAAAAAAATCAAAATATATTCTACAACATATTGATATATCAATGTGATATAAAAGCTCACTCAAATAAAGCAATATCTAGTCCACGTTATCGAACAAACTCGAGAAAAAAATTGTACCTCTTTTTATATGCGCTTTTAACCCGAGTACCAGGCCCACCAACCCCTCCACAGGCCTGATATTCAGGTTAGTGCCCTTCCCACCAAGCCTTTCAAACTATTGGCTTCTAATTTTCTTCATAGAGTTACTGATGTAATGCCTTTATTAGACGTCAAAAGTTTGATATACAGCACTGAATATCCAAGACAGTCCGCTCGAGTTATGGGTGAGATTGAAGACTCAGGTGGGACTCGGTGAAAATCCAAAAAAATTCGCCTTATAGTACTTCTGATTAACGTTTTTTACTATGCACCAAAAAATGAAAATATTTTAGTTTTTGATTGATTTTACGCACACCTATAAACATTTATTTAATAAAGCTATTAAAATAACTCAGTGAAAGCAAATATATTATAATACACTAACTTACTACCTACTTTAATTAAATTTTGTCAATAATTTTGATAGTTTCAAAATGTTTGAAACTGAAGTTGAACAAAATAACCGTCTTATTTCAAAGCCCTTGTATAACGAATCTCTTATTCATCTGATCTTTTCTTGCAACTTTTTCCATGGATCGCGAATAATCTTTGTTTTTTTCTACGTCACACGTAGTTTTGCCACGAAGCGCAATGCACTCTGGGTTTGTCAGTCATCGAAATAAAAAGGTTTTCTATGATGCTTTACGTCAAAAACTTTTGACTTTGCTAAGGAATTATCCATAGATAATTGACATCCATTCGTCTTTTATGCTGTACTGTATTGTGCATTGAAGCTCATTGAAATTTTTCTTAGAAGAGCAGAACCTTCCCTAAAAACAAAACAAAAAAAGATTATGATTTGAATTATTAGCCATTTTCATTTTTCCATTGGACTTCGCCAGGAAAACAAAGGACCAAGAGAAAATCTAAAAAGGAAAAGTAACATAAATGCACTTCATTAGTTACTGACCGAAAGGAACGCAGGCTCACTAAATTACGAAATACCTAATAACACTTTGTAAAGAGTGTGTAGTTACTTACTTTTTCCTAATAGATCCACGCAGTGAACCAAATTTATTTTTCAAGAATGGCTCCAGTTGGTTCATTAGTTTATGGTAATTCCTCTCCAGCTCTTTCTGGTAGGCTTTCTGGTCAGGTTTTATTAACTGCTTATTTAGGTGAAGTGCGTCACCACACCTGGAGAAGAAAAAGGAAAAGTTTATTGATATACAAACTCTAGTCCAGAACTGGACCCTTTTCCATCACTAACTGACTGATTTATATCAGAGGATAAAGAAAGGGAAAAACTTCGCGCRCACGAAATACGATTCGTACCACTCTCTTTCTGCTACTCGATTCGTCTTCTCCGCGCGCGCATCGAATAAAATTGGGTTGTCAAGTCATGTTATCAAAAACGTTCAGCTGATTGGCTTTGAGCTTTTTGAAAAGGCAAATATGACTTGGCAATCAGCATCGATATTTCAAGCTTGTATAGACGTTTTAAAAGCGTTTTTGATTAAGCGCACATTAAACCTACCTACCATAGCAATGCGCAACCTCGACTGATATCACAAACATTATATCATACATATCCTGATATTATCAGGATGCTAGTATACCATTTTTGATGGTTTTTTTTATATTTTTCTTCGCGTAAATGCTTCATATATGTAAATTAGCGCTTTGGACACATGGATAGAGTGCCATATAGCCGTATATGTACGTTTTATTTTCACTATAATTCATTATTTGGCGTTTGCACCTTTTCATAAACTCTTTAAACGCAAGTCTAAGCTTGTGGTGATGTCGGCTATAGTTGTGTGACGAGCTATCAGGGTCTTCATCTCCATTGCTATCCGCGTCCAAGAAGACATTTGCAATCTCCAAAGGTCCCTGTTGTTATAATCAAAACTTATGGTTAGGTTTGCTCAAGGTAATAACTTTCTATGGATGCACGTCACTTCCGGTAACATCTGTATTATGACGTTGGGTTACGGTCGGGGTTAACATTTTGAAGCTTGGAGCTTGGAGGATATCTTCAAGGTCGTATCTGGCTTCAGGTCGTAGAAATAGTACGGTTGATACTTTAAGGACTTATCTTGACATGTTTCGACTTAACAGTCGCTAGTTGCATATTAATCCCCCCCCCCCCCCCCCCCCCCCCCCCAAACAGTCACGTGATGCATAGTAAACAATTCCCTTCATATCATATTCACGCAAGTCACCTGGTTGACAGTGGTTCCAATAGAACCTTGTAACACCATCTGTAGCATCTTAGCATCAGGTGGGTCTTGTTTGATAGCATTTACCAGCTCGTTGCTTCGGTTCTGCATGTCTTCGATAGCAACTTCGATAGGTTTCAGCACAATCTAACAATAATGAAAACCAATCAATAAATTTGAACTGTACAGTTTGGGTGCCGGTGTGGGTAGCTCGGTGTGCTTGTCAACTGTACATTTTGGGTGTTGGTGTTGGTAGCTCTGTGTGCTTGTGTTGTGAATAGCTGCAATAGCCTTGGGAAGGGAGGAAAGAAGGAGTAAATGGGAAAAGGAAGAGAAAATCATCATTCTTTTTGTTAGCTCCTACGCCCCTGGCTGATTAGTTGCCACTCGTCGATTGTACTTAGTTGGACACGAAGTAAGGTGTGGAGGTCAAATGGTGTAATCTTACCTGTTCTCGATGAATGACGCTGATTCTAGTCTTAACATACGGAAAAGAGTTCGCAACAGTGAGGGTGGTCTTGCGCTTGTACTGATCAGCGAGATCACCTCGTTTCTTGCCACCAGGTGTGAAAGGCGTCACGTACATAAATCGACCTGTAACGAAATGGGGATGCGCGTCACGTAAGGTAGAATTTAAAGCTAACAAAAGTAACAAAAGTGAGAGAGCGTAAAAGCAAGAGAGGGGGGGAGGGAAAATAAGAGAGAAGAAGGAAGGGAGGGAGGGCGGGGGAATGTCTACTCTACGACTAGGCGCCTGGGATATTTGCATACGATGTCTGTGCGAGATCTTAAAAACTTTTATAGTATTGCAGCACTTTAAATTCAAATTATGCATGAAGACGAACAGTGGCCATTCTTAAGGTGGAACGTGAAAGAGCACGATATCAAAGCAAACAAAGTACATACGTAGATTATAGTTCTTGTCAAAGTACGTTATCCGGTCTTTCATCTCGTATTCATCAAAGTATGGCTCGACATAAGTCAGTTGGATGTAGGCTTTGTTGGGATCCAGAGTCTGTCGATCTACTATTTCAGAATCTTTGATGACCTCGAAATTTTCAGGGCCGAACTTCTCGCCATAGAAACCCTTGGTTTGATAAAAGAAAAAAGTCAATTTAGGCAAAGAAAAAACTCCAGGTACGGACGTTACGTGCCGTGACCGTGACGGCACAGTGTCTGTTCATTTGCATTGGCTGAGCATAGATTACGCATTGTGATTGGTTCAAACAATGCTGTTAATTCCGGGCTGTGACCGTGCCGTGCCGTTTGACAGTCGTGCAATATCTGGTCAAAATTAACAAGGTACTGTAAACAAACGTATAAAAAGTTTGACTAACTGATTGCAAGCTTAATGCATTCGCCTTTCCGAGGTTGCGCAGAAAACTGGTAACGAGAAGGACGCGCTCCGAGTCATTGGGATGTTTTAGGGGACACTTTTTTTTCAATACGGTGGAAAGCCTAGCAAACTCTCTTGAAAAACAGTTTACGAGTAGGGTAAATGTGAAGCGAGTCACAAAACTAAAACATTTGCCTGCGCCCTGCTCGCTACCAGTTTCACGCGCAACCTCAGAGAGGACAAAACTGGCTGACTTTATTACTGTCTTACTTGTAGTCTGTGGGATATCTCAGGAAGCTTCGTGATGGCTGGCTCTTTGTAAATATACTCTTCGCCGTCGAGATCGCCGAATTTCGGGCCGTAGAATCCAACACGGAAGTACGTACCCATCATACGCTTTCCTTCCTGGAGAAAAATATATATACAGAGAATATAGTCAGTATCAAGATAATGGGAAGGAAAGAAAGAGATGAGAAAGGAAGAAAGGGTTGCGAACGGAGGGAATTGAAGGGTAACGAAGGGAAGGCAGGAAGGGAAGGATGGAAGGGAAAAAGGAAAGAATTTAAATGAAAAGAAAAKAAAGGGAAAGAAAGGAAAAGGAAAAGAAAGGAAATGAAAAGGAAAAGGAAGTAAACGAAAGTAAAAGAAAGTAAACAAAAGGAAAAGGAAACGAATGGAAAAGAAAGGAAAATGATAATTTCATGGTCTTGAACACGATGACCTAATAAAACAATTTTGAATCGGAAGTGAAACAGAAAATTAATAGATTTCATTGTCGATATTTTAACTTGATACTGTTCTGACTTACCGTTCGTATGATATCACTGAACGCCTTACTGAGCTTGTCGTGGGAATTAGCAAGTTCTTTATAATCTCTGCGTGCCTCCAAGATGGGAATGAGAAGTTTATACACCTCGTTTACACACTCGAACATCTGCGCGCTCAAGAAGGTACTGGCAGCGGTTTTAAGGAGACCAACGAGACCATTCTCACTGAAGAATTTCCCTGTACAGATGCCTTCTTCGTCCTGTAATGACAGGGGGTTTATAACTTTCATCAATTATTCAGCTATTTTTTGAAGTGCGCTTTTCCACAATTACATTAAACAGGATTACACCAATCAATCAACCAGACGACCCAGCCAAAACAACCAGCCAGATGAACCACCCAGCCAAGCAAATGAATGACCGATTGTATGACCTACCGACCAATACGAACGGCCGACCGGCGGCTATGAGACATTGCAAACAATTTCTCGCGACTAAGGCACATACAGCAATTCACAAATAAGTACTTACCGGAGATACCACATCGTCAGACACAGCACTTTCCTCCAATACATTAGGAGAGATTTTCTCAAATGCAACACATCCCACGGGTAGGTAACGCTTGTCTTCTATCATGCTGTGATACTCAGCTACGAGAGCAGCTGCGTGGACCACACATAACGCGGCTTCCACTTTGTTGTTTAGCTAAGACAACAAAAAAATATGAAGAGTTAGTTTGCTTATTATCAGCAGAGGATGCCAAAGGATATCTCACTCATGAAGTGAGATAGAATGGATGGAAAAACTAGACTGTTTCCATAATTCGGCGGTTTCGCTCTCTGTCGATTCTGGATATCGACCACAACCAAAAAAGGAGCGAAAACCACGACTTCTGGAATCAGTGTAATGGAAAAACTTTTCGAGACAAACGTTTTTGAATGGAAAATGCACTACTGTTTTTCGATCAAAACCTACGACCGAGGAGCACTGGAACAGCGAGCTTTAGTAAGACTTTCAATCTCGTACCCAGAGTTCTTCAGGCGCCTTCCTGCTCTGCCGCTGGCCAAAACGCCGGAAGCCTCTGCGGTCGAGATTGTAAGACTCTCGACAATCAAACATTTGGCTGGAAAACTCAAGCATTGTGGTTCTACAGATGCAAACAAGGAAAGAAACTGAGCGCCCTGTAGACCGTTGGATAGGCATTCAATGTGTTTGCTCGCGTCTAACTACATCCTAGTCTTTTCTCATACTTCCTTGTGCACAGGAAGCCCGACAAGGAAGTAGGTAGAATCAGTAAATATAATAAACTATTCTGCATTTACCTCGGTGTGTTTGGATGCCATGTTGTTGAGCCAGGTCAGTCTAAGGTCTGGAGAATTCTGATAGCTGTTGGGAAAAGGCAAAAAGTTAAGTATCAATAAACCAGCTTACTACGCTTTTTCCAGTACGTGGAGGTTTTTGACTTAATGGGACGTAAATACGCGAGCGAACTTGGGGTGCGCAAGACGACATATTATTCATATTAGATATATCTTACCCTTTAGCTATTCTATACATCAGATCAATTAGCATCTCAGGATCCTGGTAGAAAATAATTGCATTATTTGAAAAAAAAATCACAATTCTGGGGAGTTTAAAATGACTTTATATAGAGATTAAAAGCACAGGAATCAAAAATGAATGGAAGGGAGGGGAAGGGAAGGGAAGGGAAGGGAAAGGAAGGGAAAGAGAAAATGGAAGAAATGGAAGAGGAAATAAAGCCTTTTAGTGGACATACCTCCTGAAATTCCTTCATCTTGACAGTATCGGTGAGAATCATGTGTAGATTGAAAACAAGTTCACGAACCTTGGAATCAAACGAAAGAAAAGATATCACCAATAAATACTGAGAGGCAGACAGTTGAGAGTCTTGACAACCATCTGAGTATCTCTCCGTACATTACCTGTTCAGGGAATGTGGTATTCTTGAGTTCATAGTCAGACTCCGCATAAGTAATGATCGTCTTGAGCGATCTTCGTAGATATTCTTCACTAAAGGCCTAACAATAATAATGATGATGATTATAATAATGGTATATTTATTTTTAATGAGGTAGCCAAGTTCAAAAAGTGATCTACAGAAAGGTCCCCCCCCCC